CACTAGGGCGAAGTGGAACCTTGCTTCATTGGTATCATCCCAGGTCTTTGTGCCAGATGCGGCTCAGGGACGTATACCCGATTGTTGACGATGGGTAGCCCGTTCTGTAGGGTATACTGAGGGTCAGAACTAGGGTCAGAGACGCTTGCTCGCCGTAGAAGGCGATAACGAAGTCGTCAGGCGAGGGGAACGTTTCGTTGAGTGTGAGCGTGTATGGCTGTACGTCGGTGTGCGAGGCGAGGACCCATCGATGTCCTCGTCCAGTTTACTGAACTGGATGTCCCTGGTGAAGATGTCTACGTGTCCCTGCCGGTGCGGTAGACTACCTTGAACTGGAATTATTGGAGGAACATCGCTCAACGTGCGATGCGCGGTTTCGCCGTGTTCCAGAGCCATTTGAGGCTTTGGTGGTCAGTGCGGACGATGAATTCCTTCCCTCTGAGGTAGTGGGCAAAGCGGAAGATGGACCACACGATGGCGTGTGCTTCCAGTTCATAGATGGGCCACTTTGCTTCGGCGGCGGTGAGTTTCTTCGAGGCGACTTGGAGGACGTGAGTGGTATCGCCTTCTCTTTGCTGCAGTACGCCGGCGATGGCGTATGTGGACGCGTCGGTGTCCAGGCAGAAAGGCAGTCCGGAGCGCAGCAGACACAGTGACGGTTGGGATGCAGTGAGTAGATGTTTGATGTCCTCGAACTTCCGTTGGCATTCGTCGGACCAGACGAATTCTTCCACAGTTCTTGGACCAGTTTGACGAGGGCGGTGAAGTCGGGTATGAACTTGCGCAGGTACCCGACCAGGCCTAGGAGGCGTCGAACGCCATTGACGTCTTCCGGGGGAGAGAGGCGTTGGTTGGTGGCGATGGACTTTTTGAAAGGGTAGACCTTCCCGTCTCGGATGGTGACGCCCAAGTATTCGAACTCGGACAGGCCGAAGTGACTTTTGCGGATGTTGAGAAATACTTCGTGGTCGCGCAGTTTCAGGAGTACCCATTCGAAGTTGAGTGACGGCCACGAGCTACCGTAGATTACGATATCGTCAATGTAGACGAGACACCCACTCTCTAGACGATCTTCGAGGAGTTTGGTCGTCATCCGTTGGAACGTGGCTGGAGCGTTGATAAGTCCGAAGGGCATGACGCGTAATTGGTATAGTCCGGTAGGGGTGGCGAAGGCGGTCTTCGGTTTGTATTCCTCCTTGATTTTGATTTGGTGGAAGCCGGCCTTGATGTCGAGGGTGATCACGTGTTCCACTTCGCCTAGCTGGTCGTGAAGATCTTCGATGATGGGCAGCGGGAAAGTATCCGGGACAGTGACGTCGTTGAGGGAGCTGTAGTCGACGCACATCCGCCGCTCATGACTATTTGTGACCTCCATGGGCTGTCTGGTTCTTTGGACCTGTAACTGGATTTCCTGCTTTTGTTCCGATGAGTATCGCCGGGTGCCCTGCTTGCTGTCCCCCGTGTCGATCCGGTGTCCTTACAACGTCCGACCTTCGTAGCTGTCCACGCCGAGTCGTGAGCTGTGAGCAGTTTAAGTATGTCCTGCCTCTGACGGACAGAGATAGGCTCTTCGATCTTATTACACTCTCTGGCATGGCATCAACCTGTTTCTGACGAGTCCCTATTTTGTAGTACCAAGTTCTTCGTCGTCTCCGTGGGCTTAGTGTAGCTGCGCCTTCGGTTGTTGTTAGCGTAATTCGTAGCCTTCTTCTTGGCGTTACCCGTGGCGTTCGCATTGTTGCCACCCTGAGGCCTTGTCTTACGCTCGTCCAGACGTTTTCTCGAACTCAGGCCGGATCGGCTTCCACCAAATCAATATCTCAGATCGGCTTCAATATTGCCCCGGATTCAATCCTTCGCATCGTACCTTCCTTGCCGTAGGCCACACAACTTAATAAGACGTTGACCGAAAGGTCATGCGAGATGAGTCCTTGGTCGATGAGCTGGTTGACCCTTACGATGGGCTTATCCGTGTTGTCGATTTCGGGGTCAACCAGCGCCTTCCGAAGGATCGTGAAGTCATTACTAAACTTTTCCTTCCGGTGGAACTCAAACATCTTCTTAATCAAAATTTTTTACACATATTATACGAGCTGAAACACCGTGAACGCTTTTCAACCAACAGTCTGCTTATCAAAGCTTATTCATGACCACTCGTTGATGCGAGTAAAATTTTGCACAGCGCTGTGCGGTCGTCGAGGTTGTAACACTTCGGTCCGTGTGCGGGCGTTACGTTGCATTCTTTTTCACGATAAAGCCAAGTCCAACGTGAAGTCGCTGAGGTGTGTGCACTTGCCAAGCTGCGGTCGTGTGGTCCTTGGGGCATTAGTGGGAGGTGATGGTGGCGTGTCGTCGGTGGACGGTTGCATTGCGCGGATGGCGATAGTCTCAGCAGGGGATGAGGCAGCGGAGTTGCTGGCGATTGGACCGCCCAGCGAGTTTTTGGAAAGCGATTGGACAGAGTTCGACTGGGCCAATCGCTGGAACCGCGTGCGTCTGTTTACCCAGGCGGGTGCAGAGCCCTCACAGGCAGTGGAGAGGGCTCTCGCACAGATGCTCAATGACGCGCTGGCAAATGAGGACCCCCTAGTGGCGGCGACGCTCTTTCGTCAGGCCTTCAACCACCCAGTCGATCGTTGGGGCGCACGCCACAACCGGGAAGAACCACTCAAGATTGTGGGGGTGCGCGCACTCACCGATGGGGAATACGAACAGCTACGAGAAGAAGCGCCCGATGAGTTGAAACCCGTCCTTGACCACTCGCGTGAGCCGACCGACGAAGAACGCTTACAACTTTATGAAGACGGTAGAGCTTGCTGCAACCGCAAAAGAATCCTCATCGGTATCGGCGTCGGGTCTGCCGTGGCCGGTACCTTCCTGGCTGCCTGGCTCTCGACGAGGTCGAGGGAGGGTCCCGTCTCGCGGGCCTTGACGGGATTGAACACGACGGAGACCAGCACCCCTTGGTTCAATTCCTCCCTGGCGGGCACGACGCCCAACACGACCGCGGGAACTACCACGACGCGGAACAGTACGGAAGCTACCATCCCCTGGTTCGGTTCCACCGCGGCGTCAAGCACCACGCGGCTACTGAAGCCCAAGCGGCTGCTGGAGCCCAAGCGGCTGCTGGAGCCCCAGCGGCTGCTGGAGCCCAAGCGGCTGCTGGACCCGAAGATGAAACGGCTCGAGAACCCGTCGACGATCAGTTCCCTCCTGGACCCGTCGACGATCAGTTCCCTCCTGGACCCGGCGACGGTCAGTGCCCCCTTAGTCTGGGGTGATAAGTTCCAGGGCCTGAATCCGAAGATCGAACGAACGCAGCTGGGGTCGCTGAAGACGGCGGGCGACACGTGCAAGAACACGGAAGTGTCATTCCCTACAGCGCCACAAGACCGTTCTTGGACCGTGGACGGCTGGAAGGAGGTGGATTGGAGAGCGTGCTCTGAGTTGGGTGGCAAGGTGGTATGTCGAAGAGATGAGGATCTTCTGTGCTATTATTTCGGGTCGCCGTGGAATTACGGCCTACCGTCCGTGTGGGAGGGCGTCGCTCGTTATCACAGACCGAACAGGTGTTCGTTTGAGTGCAACTCTCCAGGGGAACACGAACGGCTTTTGCAGGAGCGGTTGGGGAAGCAGTGGAGCCCTGCATTCCCCAGTTTGAAGGCAAATACTCCTGAAGCTGTTCGCGAAGTGGCGCAGAAGGTGCAGCAAACCTTGGAACTAGAGCCGTTATGTTCCTGGAGCAGCGACGACTGCCGTACGCACAAGTCCCCGAAAGGTTGCTCGTGCAACGTCGCGACCTTACGCAGCGAGGTCGTAACGCCCTCCGGCCAGCGATTCGACGGGGGCGAGATTGTCGCGTTCAACGCGGACGCCGACGACCTGACCCCGTTCCTGAGCCCATTGAAACAGAACGGCTGGGACGCCAAGACCTGCAACTTCACCTGTGAGCGATTTAACCATCGTTTCTTCAGAATAGCTCGAAGGCAGCTGGAGGCCCATAGAGTTAAAAATGGAGAAAGGTTGTCCGAGGCAGAGGTGGCTTCATTGAGACTGCCGTCTTCGACGTGCCATGACATTGGGACGTGGATGCATTGGAAGGGGGGCCTGGAGACGGAGGATGGGTGGAAGGTGCGTGACTGGGATAAGTGCGCAGGCCGAGGTGGCAAGATGGTGTGCGGCGTGGGCGAAGGTCGCGTTACTACTTTGGGTCGCCGTCGAAGTACGACTTGCCTACCGTCTGGGATGCTGCTGCCCATTATCGGGAGTTGAAAAATGAGTGCGCGATCGTGTGCAACTCTCCAGAGGAACGCGAGATGCTCTTGCAGGACCGTTTGGGTAAGGAATGGAGCACTATTTTACCCCATGTGAACACAACTACAACGCGTGAACTTGGTCGGAAGGTGCAACAAACCTTGGAACTAAATCCCGAATGTTCATGGCATGCCGACCACTGCCTTACCCACTATCTTACCTACGAACATCCGGCAGAAATGGACCAGTGCAACTGTAATGTTACCACTATACACTCCACAGTCGCTGATCCCTGGGGCCAACTCTTCGACGCAGGTGAAGTCGTCCACCTCAACACTAATATCGATAACGTCTACCGGCTTTTGAGCGCATCAAACCGTCCCGATTGGACCGTCAGGTCCTGCAACGTCGCCTGCCAGCGAGTCAATGACTATAAGTTGTTAGCCACACTGTGTAATGCCCCGTAATTTTAAAGCTCCATAATTTTCAAACAACGACGGAGAGAGGTTCACAAGCCGTTCTACGGGGGCCGTCACCCTCAATTCGTACCCGACCACCCGCTTACCCGCTAGCATGGGGGGCACTATCGGTAAAGATTCTTCTCTGAACTCCAGTTGGTACGAGCCCGCCGTGGCCGCCCGGTTGATTTGCACCCCCCACCGAACCAACATTGCATCGAGTGATCATGGAAGTCGGCTGCAACATTCGAGTGGTCCAAGAGGACGGTAGCATTAATGCACCCCGCGGCATGGTCGATGACGACTACGAAGCCGGACGGCGATAGGCAGGGGCGATCTTGTTCCAGGCGTTTAGAATCTTCTGCTTGGAGCTCTCACTTAAAAAATAGCAATAGATGCTGTGGTGTTTTACGTCATAGCCTTCTGTACGAACTGCAGCGCTATAGTACGGCGGCAAGTACTTGTCTGTCCAGAACCCAGTGACCGCCCCAAACTGCATGTGCTCGACGTCCTCCGACGGAGTTCGGACCAAACTCTCATAAAGTGTCTCGGCCGATCCATTGCAGCGGTCAAACCAGTCTCCCAACCTGGGCAGGTTTACCTCCTCAAATGGTCTCCCATTATGATGCTTCCAGAATTTCAGGGATAGTTTCACTTCCCGTCCGAGTGTATACAGGTCCTGTTCGCTGACACCGTCCAAGTCAACGCCGGGAATCGAACCCGCAATCTCCAGCGCTCGGCGGACAGTCAGTAGTTTGTCGTGCTCCTCTTTGTCGTTACACTGGTACGAGCACCTATTAGGCTTCACATGGCGAACGATACCCTCCCAGACAGTAGGAAGATCGAATTTCCACGGAGTGCCAAAGTAATGACACCCAAAGTTCACGTCGTCCGTGTTCTGGTCACGCGTGCACACTATTCTGCCGCCATACGGTTCACATTCGCCCCACTCCAACTCCTGCCAGATAAGTGTCTGCCAGCCGTGGCTCGTCGCCTCTGTCAATGTGGGTGGGCCGTGCAGTACCACTTTCGTGTATGTCCGCCTGCACACGTCCATCGGTGTCTCCACCAGAGCCAGCTCCGTCTCAGAAATTGTGCCGATCTCGCTGAGGTCCGTGACAACATCGGGCGACAGGGATGAGCTGTACCAGACGCGACGGAACGTAGTAGGCTCGACCGTCGTAAGGTCTGACGGAGTAGGCTTGACCGTCGTAAGGTCTGACAGGGAATAGCTGTGTGTGGCTGGGGTAGAGTGATAGGTGGTGACCTCAGACACAGAGGAGGAGGCCGACACCACATCGTCACTGGGGCAGTCGCCAGCTTGGAGCAATAAGATCAAGTATGTCACGAACGCAGTGCCTGCGGCACCTCCCACGCCCGTAGCGAACCAGGGCCTTCGCCAAAAGCTGGCAGTTGGCCGCGCCAGTTGCTCCCCCTCGGTGTCGGTGTGGGGCCTCGCGTCTTCGATTATCAAAATCGGGAGCTTCTTTACTTGATCGCTGTCGTCAGAGGAGGTGACACAACCGCCTGAGGGATCCTCTGGAAACCTCAGATCCTCGACGATCACCATCCGCAACTTCTCTCCTTCATCCCACCTCTCGGACTCGGACGCGCATGAAACTTCGAGCAGTCCGGCTGTGGTTTCGTCGTCGGATACCCTCCCATCGACGGGTCGACCCACGACCACAGCCAACACCGAGCTCCCCTTGGCGTAGCCAAACTGGATCGACCGTGGGCTTCTCATCACCGCTGGACTTCCGACATAAAAAAAATATTCAACCTGAGACAAAACGGGCGACCAGGGTAATGGTGAGCTGAATGGCTTGTGGTTCGGGACCGGGCATGCAGACTCAACCTCGTCAACCCGCTGACCTACCGTCACTTGCCTCTTCTCGCTGTCAAACTCTCCCCCGTTCCCTCGGACACTCATTATACGTATTGGTGGAATGTTAGGTGATATATATATATCTTCTCCCAAAAACCCAGCCAGACCGGTAGCGTTATGTCTGCCCGTTTTCGTCTGTGTGCAACAGTCGATGAGGTATCACTTATCAGGTTCTTGGCGGACCATATCGTGCCTGCAACGGCGGACCTGCGCTACCTACTCTCTCTGAGGCAGGTCGTCGTAATGTGGAAACGTATTTGTCGGAAGTCGCACGCAAGCTATACGACGACTGCAGCCTATACGTGCACGCTTGGTACAAGCAAGTGCACGCATTCATGACTGAAGACCTGGCGAAGCTCAATAACGTGATAACGGAGAAACTGAGTCGTCACGCGAGATTGGCAAGCAGGTGGGGTTGTAAGGCGAGAGTAGATAAAGGGCAGATGGTCTATGAGCTACTGTTATTGCTTCCCGCGGAAGCACGCATGGATGCTCACGATAAGTCGAGGGAGGTGTCCTTTGTGGCTTGGACGACGTGGCTTCAGAGGAAGTATGGCAGAGCGACGGTGCCGATCTACAGTACGATGATGATGGATCGGGGTATGGAATCCACGAGGGCTAGACAGTATCGAGTGCTGTTCAAGTCATGCGGCGTCGAGCACTTGCGCAAGGAGTGTCCGTACAGGGGCGTGTACTGTAGGAAGTGTGGGGTGAAAAGTCATCTAGCGGCTGTGTGCCAGGCAATACCGATTAGGGATGGATATGGCGGAGGGGACGCAGGCTACTTCCGGCCGAACCCTAAAGGCGGATACGCTTTGGATGTTGCACCGAAGCACAGAGCGCAGAAATACGCAGCCGCCGGAGCAATCATCCCGGATGCGGAAGAGGATACCCAGCGACAGTCACGACGGGCTAAAGAACGAAGAGAGGCGAAACGAGGCTCTAATAACCCGCCAGGCCGTGAGAAGGCGGTAGGACTAGTAGGGGTAGAGGATATGAGCAGGAGTGAACTACTAGAGTTGATTCAGACACGACCTTGGGAGCGAAATGGCGTGGACGCGATTGGCGGCGAAGAGGAGCTAACCGCACAGGATTTTTAGTAAAGGCCCGCATAGCGGGCCGTAGTTGGACCTGTTTGTGGACACCGGAGCACAGATCAGCGTACTGAGTCCTCAAGCGGCTGCAGATGCCGGGCTGGTACGACCAGCGCGGCTCATTGAAGTTAACACGGTGGTGGGGAAATCGCTACTGCCTGTACATGACAATGTGGTCACAGAAGTCAATGATCGGACGCGTCGAGTAGACTACACCGTGGCGATAAACCCAGATACGATGAGCCCAGATACGATGAGTTTGTTAAGCTTCAGGGACTACCGGAGATTCATGAACGAGGCTGATGTCTACCACGTGGACTACGAGGACCGCTTAGCTCAGAAGAAGGTACAGGAGAGCGTTCCTGCGATCATAGGCGAGGAAGCCGAAGCAAAGAGCAGTAAAGAACAGCAAGACGCGTTTGTACGAGGAACGAAGCACCTGAGTGAAGAGGATCGTGACTTGTTGTGGGCGCTGGTATCAAAGTATGAGCGGGCATGGCTCGCGCCGCGGGTTGGCCACGTTGGTTACAAAGTGAAGTTCGAGGTCACGGGTAAACCGTTCAAAGCGAGATTTCGACATTACGAGCCAAGCCAAAGGGAAGAGCTGAGCC